CCGCCCTGAGCTTCAGCATCCGCAGCTCTTGGGGGTTCCTTACTATAACTATAGTACAAAATACCCCTGAACCCGAGTCCATTTATTAAGGTCCCGAAATTTTGAAGCAGGATCCGGGCAGCGAGAGCAGCAGCAGCAGCTCTGGCGGGAGCCTGCCTTGCATCGCGAGCGCTTCGCACGAGCCGAAGTCCCGGGCTATGGGAGACAGAGAGCTGTCCAGGGGCTGTACTTTAGGGGCCTAAATAAATACCAAGTGACTAATACCATTTTGGGGATTCCTTGTTTCAAGGAGAGTATAGAATGGGCACCAAAACCCTATTCTACGTACTCAGGCCCCTGGATTAGAAACCATCTTAGGGCCATAGGGTTTTAGGTTTGCGGGTTGATCCGTATGTGCCTGCGCAACGTCTTCAGCCAGACCGCCTTTTCGACGGGCCTCACTGGAGGAACATTCCGGCTCGCTGCTTCGCGAATGATCTTGTATCTATCACGCTCTCGGGTTTTGTTAGAGTGGACAGAAGAGTCCGTTCTTTTCCTGCCTTGAGGCTTTGTCTGATGCGCATGAGTATGAGAATTCGGATATAAGTGCTGTGGAGGTTTAGGCTTCTGGAAGCATCTTGGACTTGCCAGTCTCTTTGGAAGGAACTCGGTGAGACCGTTTGGCGAGGGGCTCTCTCTAAAAGAAAGGGGCTTAAACCCAAGCCACATTGAGCCCGAAGCCCTATAAAGCCCTAGACCCTAACCCCTAAACCCCAAACCACCGAATTCGAACCCTTGAGTCCAAAAGTAAACCCTAAACCCTAAGCCCTAAACCCTAAACCCTAAACCCAAAAAGGAGCCCTTAAAAAAAAACCTAAACCCTTAAATTCGCTTGGGATCGGACCGAGGCTCTACATGGGCTTGGCGCAGCAGATGTGTACGCCGCCAGGGCAGATGGCCGAGGCCAAGCAGCAAAACCTGAGAAGGCATAAAGGGAACTCCAGAAAGTTGGAATATGGTTTCAGGGTAGGAGACCCTATAATTTATCATAAAGGGTTTAGGATAATCATATTCCAACTTTCCGGCTTTTACCATATTACCCAGAGGCCCCAAAGTAGTTCCTTTTTGGGATTACCTTATAGGATTCTATATACGAACCCCAAAAAGGAACTACTTTAGGCCCTTTGGGTAGTGCGTACAGTCCCTAAGTTAGTTCTAACAAAATCCAGGCCTTTGTCATGAGAAATCATATCTCCATTTTAGCCGGGCCAAGGATGGAATGATCGTGCACTGTTCCTTGCAAAGCTCGTATTCTATTCTTGAGGCCCTGTCCTAGCCTTTGAATGTTGGGTTCTAATTGCAGATTTCTAAAGACCCCGCAGTGCCCTGCAGAATCCGTCAGAGGATTTTGCAGAAGCCCTTTTGATATGAAGCCTAAACCCTAAACCCCAAGCCCTGAACCCTGACGCACGAACGCCCTTAAACCCTGCATGAAGTTGGGGCCCAAACCCTAAACTCCCTAAACCTTCAAATCCCTCAAAACTCCCTAAACCTAACCTCCCCAGGACCTAATACACCCTATAAAACACCCATTGAAGTTAGTCCACGGCCTGGCCTCAACCCTAAACCCTAAACCCTGCACCCTAAACCCTCAACCCTAAACCCTGAACCCTAACAAAAAGTACCCTAAACCCTAAACCCTAACCCTACTAAACCCCAAACCCTTTGGGAAACGCCCCAGGTGGCCTGCGAGGAGAAGCTCTCGAGGCGGAATCCTCGGCAGCTGTTGGGAGAGAAGGGATGCCTTTGAGGGATTCATAGCAGTTCCCTTAGGGGTTCCTCTGCTGGGCTTTGGAGTACCATATTTTTAATGCTTTTTTCTTCAAGGAACCATTATGTAATGAAAGTTTAAACTTTTTGCTCCCTGGTTACTTAAAGGCCCAGTCGGGGGGTTCCTTTAAGGGTTACTTTGAGGGTTCTTGGATGGCTTTTAGGGGTGTTCATTGGGCCCAGTGGGCCCAGGTGGACTTGGGGTGCGCGCGACAGTGCACGTCTGTGTGCGATGTACGCTGGCAGAACAGGGTTTTAGGAAGATGCTGACAAGCTGAGGCGAGACCCCAAAGCCTTGAGCTTGGGGAAACCTTAAACCCCAATCCCGAAACCCCAACACCCTAACCCTAACCCCTAAACTTTACACCCCAGGCCCTAAACCCTAATCCCTAAACCCTAGGCCCTAAACCCTAATCCCTAAACCCTAGGCCCTAAACCCTGATCCCTAAACCCTAGGCCCTAAACCCGAAACCCTCAACCCAGCCCTGCCAGGTATTCCATGAGCTACCCCCAGGAAGCCGCTCCGGAGCTGCACGTTGTGGCTGGCAGAGTCCTTAAGATGACCGAGAGTAGGAGACGCCTAGAGTGCTCGGTGTGGGGGTTTGGGGGTAGAGGGGGTTAGGGCTGCGGGGTTTAGGGTTACGAAGTTTGGGGTGTGAGGGGTTTCGGTCGTCATTTTGGCCATCCACTGCGGAGTGCCGGATATGGATTCCAATGACAGTGTGCAGCAGCAGACGCTGTAAGTGCATGTTCTCGGGCGGGGAACTCGATTGTCTCAGCATGAAGGTAAGTTGGAGTTACGCTTGCAAGTCGTGTGGCCAGTTGCATGTGACCACTTCTGCTGGTGACGAGTCACGGTTTAAACGAAGCCAAGAGCTGTTATAGGTGCTGCGTAACTGTTTGGGTGCTTGGAGCATTTTGAAGAGTCCTTAGAGTCTTTTGGACATGACCGCGAGGCGGAATCCTACTACCTATCCGGTGATATAGACCTGCATTGACGCCCAGAGGCTTAATCTTGCCATCGGCATCACGAATCAATCTACACGGCTGCTATGACTGGCATTTGGACAAATCCGTGATAGAAGCCCTGCCCCCTGCGTCCGTATTGATCCAAGCCGCAGCCATCGGGACGCGCCGGACCCGACAAGGTCATCTGGTTGCGGCAGATGCCTTGGCCGCCCGGGTGGGGAGCCTGAGGGATCCCTTTCTTAGGGACGGCTTAGAGTAGTTTGATTCATAAGAGTTTTGTGCAGGGTTTCAGGCGGTTTTCTTAGAGTTCTGGATCCCTTCCTGTCGGACCCTTGTATTGAGGACCCTTGTGAGGAACTTCATGATTTTTCTAGAGATTGAATGGAAGTTCCGGCTATGTTCCGATGCCTTTGCTGTCATTGTCTCCCGTCTTCTTATGCCTGCAGCCTGCAATCCCGAACCCTAAAGCTAACTCCCGGATTCGAAACTCTGCACCACAGCAGCGGTTGGACAGAAGCAGTACCAAGTTCTAGGTGCCTTCGTGGCAACGTAAGAGTGGCAGCTGTTGCGGTCGTGGTTGTGCCTGTCGCGGTGGAAGCAGCCGAGATGGTCCTCGTTCGTGTCGTCTAGTTGCAGTCTTTGTCGTCGTAGTGGAAGCAGCATGCAGCTGCAGCAGCAGATGCAGTACCCGGAACGGCGGAAGCCCTGATAAACCACTTCTCCCATTTGTGTTTGCAAGAAGGAACAAGAGTACAACTCGGACCAAGAATCCAAGACAGTTGATAGTTCGCGTTACCGGAGAGCTACAGTACACAGCAATAGTGACCATCATGCCAGTCGAAAAACTAGGAAACTACTAGTGGCAGATTCAACTCCGCAGCTCCTACATGCAAAAGCAATATTAGTGGTTCTAAGCACCTAAGCCACCAATCTCATCACTGAGACGAATCCTCTCCGGATACCCTCAACACTCGTAGCTCAATACTTCTCCCTCGACCCTCGTGGCCTAACCATTGATATTGGAGGAGCTAAAGAGCCAGGGATGATGATAGTCCCTATAAAATAAGGAGCTAAAGTGCCATGGAACCCCCAAAACCACTGGTTACTAAGTCCCATGATCCTTTAACCCTAACCCCCCCTTAGATATAGATCCCTTATAGATCCCTTTAAGCCCAAAACCCTAAACCCTAAACCCTAAACCCTAAACCCTTTAGTTAGTAGCTCAGTTGCAAGAGGTGGCGGAGCTGGAGCGCTGGCACGCCCAGGCTCCCGAGGCCCATCATCACCGGATGTCGGGTTTCGGGAACTCATATTAGGGGACTTATCACTCTACTATACTATACTCATAACTAATTTTAAGTAAAAACTCTACTATACTATACTCATAACTATCCCGGAACCCTCCACCACCCTGGGGGCCCTAAGCTAGCACAGTGTTCTGTGACCATTGTAGTAGTCGTTGTGGTCGTAGCAGTCGTAGCGGTAGCGGTAGTCGTCTCCTTGTGGTGGTGGTAGTAGTAGTAGTCGTGGTGGTGGTCGGAGGTCGGAGGAGGAGCAAGGTGGAAGGAGGAGGAGTAGCCGTAGCCGCAGTGGCAGGGGCAGCAGCCGCAGCAACAGCAGCAGCAGCAGCAGCAGCAGCAGTAGAAACAGCAATCACAATCACAGTATTACACACAGCACAAGTGCATTAAGATAATTGGTGATAACGAAACTGAGGATAGGATGAGTCTAGTTCTTAATGATAAGTGTGCGCATGACCCCTGCTCAGGATGACACGCACGACTAAGGAGTGTGCATGGCCCTTGCGAAGGATGACACGCACAAACCGAGGTGCGTGGGATGCCATGTATGGCTCAAGCGCGATTGAAAAAGGCATTCGGCCTTTGAGTGTGAGACACTGCATCGTGCGGGAAGTGCGAGAATCTTTGTGTCCTTTTTGGGTGATTGATGGGTTCGGGTTTGGTTTTGTGTGAGCCTTGGGGCCCATGTACAATCCTCTAGATGACCTACCGCATCAAATTAGACAGAGGCTCGCAGGCTCCCCAACTCCTACACACTACTCCATTGTTACTAATACCCCGAGTCCTGTAAATCCCCAACATCATCAACAGGTGATGAGCCCAAACCCCCTAGATACTCCTCAACCTATGCACGGCATACAAGCAGCAGCAGCAGATGCCTCAGCGCGAGACGACGCGACTGACACTGTGATGTTTAGGTCAATGACGCAGATTGCTTTCCCTGCCGACTTGCTTCGACAACTTCAGGAGAACGTGTCTTTTGATCTTGGAGCCATCGAAGATATCCGAGCAGCGATGCAGGAAATCAGCGATCGACTTAACCATCGTACAGGAATCCTAGGCCAAGCTGTGCAATCCTTGGACTCAGGTCACCGTCAGGTCTTTGAAGGGTGCGTTACTGTTGAAAATCAGTTGGAAGAATTCAAGCGGATTTTGAGGGCCCAGCAGACCGTGATTGAGGAGCAAGCCTCGACATGGACCAGGGAGATGGCTGCAATGAGAGATCGTTTGGAAGACAACCAGGCGGTAATCAATCAACAGCTTGTCGTGATAGATCAGGCGAAGCAGCGCGAAGCCCTGCTATTGGCCAAGGTGGAATCCATGGCTGGACGTCTGAATGAGATGGAAACCATGCTGTCCAGTATGAGTGCGAGTGTGAACGAACACAAGGGCCGGCTAAGCATTCATGAAACTTACATTTCAGCAGCTGTAAGTTCGCAGGCTACAGGGTCTCAAGAGGGCGATGCTGGTGCTGCCGAGGGTGATTTGGCAGTCCAAGTTCGCATGTTGGCCGAGAGGGTGGATCAAGAGCTGGCACAGATTGCTCGTGGGGACGCTCACGATGCAGAGGCTGGATCTTTGAAGGACCTGAATGCGGTTGTAGACCAGCTTGACGAACGGGTAACGGCACTGGAGACAAGCATGGAAGAGTGGGAAAATGCGGATTGTGAGGATGATCAACGTCCTTGTGAGTCTGAAGCGCATGTGGGCGGAATGCCCCAGCGATTTGACTTGACACCGAATTTGCAGGACACTCCTACGTGGGGAAATCAAGAGCCTGCAGATGAACAGGAACCAGATGCTACCGCTATGTGGTGGCAGCAACCTTTCGAGTTTTCATCAACAGAGCATAGTGCGAATGTATCCATTGGAAGGCCAACGCAGAATGTCTGGGGAATTAGTGATCCTCCTGGTTTGCCAGCGTACCTCCGAGCTCCAAATGTGGTCGCAGACAACGCTGCGGATCCTGGGCAGGGGAATGTGACTGGTGAGATCCCAAATGGAAGGTGGAAAACATTGAATGATCTGCCGAGCTATCAGCCGGTGGTAGGTCAACCCTGGGAGACTGCAATGGCCTATGTCACTTGGAAAAGGCAATTTCTAGCGGTAAGCGCGACTGTTGCCGACTCTTTCAAGCAGTACGTGGAGACCCAGTTCATTGCGGCCCATGCGCGACATGAGGCGAGGATGGCTGGCGGTACACGGCAGCCTTTCCCAGCCGTTCCACATCAGATGCGAGATTTTGAATCCAGGCTGGTAGTGGCTTTGTTGCGGGTCCTCCCACAGGAGATGAAGTCCGCAGCCATGGAGTCAGATGAGAATCAAATCTCTTCATTGGCCCTCCTTGAAGAACTTATCACGATTGTACAACCTGGTGGCCGAGAGGAGGTCTCGAGCCTTTTGACTTATGTCAGGAATCTTCAGCCGGTGAGCACAGCTCGAGAAGCGTTGGAGGTTTTGCGACGATGGAAGATGGCTCGGACCCGTGCAGCTGCTTTGGGGTTACCGGCTACAGCGCCGAGTGAGGCCCTGAAATCGCTGGCATCATTGACGCGTGTCCTGGAACGTAAGCAAGATGCTTTGAAGACCCGTCTTGGCATTTTGCGTTTGGCGCCGCAGATCCAATTCCCGACGGAGGCGGGAGTCAACATGATGTTGGACACTTTGGAGCACGAACTCCGGCAAACAGCAGCTGACGAACACACCAAGCAGAACAAGCAGGAGGGAGGCCCAAGTGAGAGCTACGCAAATAAAGGCAAAGGCAAGGAGAAAGGAAAGGACAAGGGTAAGGGCAAGGGAAAGGAAGCAAAAGGGAAGCAAGGAAAAGCCAACATGCAACCCGGATCCAGTTCCCATGCTCAAGATCGTAAGTCTGGAAATCCTGATCCTGCAGATGCCAATAAGACCCCGAAGAAGATTGACAAGCCATGCAGATTCTTTTTCGGTCCGAAAGGATGTTATCGGAAGCAGTGCAATTACAGCCATGATGAAAAGTATCGGGCGGAGGCAAGTCGTGCTGCTAAGGCAGACACAGAGGTGCCAGGTTTGCTGGGTACAGACTCGGCAGCAGCTGCTGCGAAGGGAAAGGCCAAGGCGAAAGCTAAGGCATCGGCAGTCGCATCAGCATTCATGGCACGTAGGCTTCGTGAGGACTCAGAGGCTGACGGATCGCAGGAGGAGTCTGAGGCTTTGTCATTGGAATCATTGTCATCTTCAGCATCGACACCATCCCCTGAGTCAACCATTCAGGACGAGGGTTCAGAAAGTGAGTTGGATCCTCTGGTGGATGATCTAGCCCAAGCGGTTCGTGAGGCTCGTGAGGAGCGTCTGGAGAGACTACCGTTGTGGAGAGTGCACTTAGATCCTGATGAGTTTGTGCGGTGGACAAGTGGCCACGTGCAGACTGGGGCACGACGGGATTTCGTCGGAGTCACGAACCCTTTCGATGTAGCGGTCGGTGTATCTTATTTCTTGAATCGTGTAGAGACGCTTCCAGCTTATGATCTCGAGATTGGAGAAACGCAAATGATTGCGGAGGCACATGCTGTGATGATCATGTGTAGCGATGGTATTGTGCGACCGGGATTTGTTGCTTGGCTTTTGGATTTAGAGGACGGTAATGAGCTGTACATTGGAATGGTTGAGTCCGGGTTTAGACCAGGATTTCCGATGCCACCAGTGGTGAAGTCAGAAGCTGCACCTCCAAAATCAAGTCCAAAGGCCTCACTAGTGAAAAGACCCCCAGTAGTGCCGACAATCATCGCATCACCTCCTGTGAAGGCATCCGGTGATTCAGCACAGTCATCAACTGCGTGTCCAAAGCCATGTCCATGGGATCAGAGTAGAGCAGGTGAGCCGAGCAGTAAACAGCCTACCGTAAGAGCCCCACCTCAGGTTGCACCAGTGCCAGCCGCTCCGCCTCCAAAAGCTAAAGCTGTGAGGAAGAGTCCCCGGTGGTTCCCAAGGGTGGATACGGCCAGGCTAATAAGGCAACGCCCGGCCTGCATGCAGATCACGATTTCGTCCTGGTAGACTCCGGAGCGAACGAAGTGTTGCGACCAGGCGAGCCCCCGCGGAGGGGGTGTGAAACATCATTGCAATTGGCCGATGGCATGAGAATCAAAGCGTTTAGAAGCCGGGAAGGGGAGTTGGTGATTCCTGGCGCCACATGGATCTGTGGTCTGAGTCGTTTGGTCTCGTTAGGATACAAGTTCGTGTGGAGCCGAGCCCGAGGTCCCTACCTTCAGACCGATGATGATTTCCCGGGTGAGATTAGAACCATCAATCTAATCGTCATGAACGGTTTGCCTTATGTCCGGTGGAGGACTTCGTTGAGGTTCGAAGATACTTGACTCAGCAGTACAAGCAGTGCAATCGCAAGGTTTGCAGTGTGACGGTTCCCATGTGTCCCGAAGCCTCAAGCATTCTTGACATTGAAGAAGTCATGGCGCATGTGGCAGATGATCTAGAGTGCTGTGAAGCAAGCTTGGTTGCTGTGGAGCCAGCAACAGACCATGACGAATCAAAAGAGAGCCAGTTTGATGCGGTCTTGGATGAGCTTCATAGGGCTAAGTTGCGCGTAAAGGGCAGTCACAGGCCAAACGTTACGAAGCCAGAATCCCAAGGTCATGCATGGGCTTTTGGTTTGTTTGGCCGAGGTGGAATGTGTGGAACCACGCGCCTTACAAAGCAGCATGTGCAGCTTGTGCAGAGAGTGAATCGCTTGATTAGGACTGTTCACCCTGAGGCTAGATACACTTCATTCATGATCATGGAAAACACTGCTTTTCGGCCTCACAAAGACAGTCGAAACATGCCTGGCTCACAGAATTATGTGTTAGGCCTCACGGCATACGATGGCGGAGAGGTTTGGGTAGCTGATCCAAAACTTGAACGGTCCAAGGCAGTGTGGCGAAAGACGCATGATGACAAGCCTCCTGCGAAGGGTCGTTTGTTGAGCACAAGCCGTACGATTGCTGAGTTCGACCCGTTTCAAATGCATGGCACAGAGCCTTTCCGAGGGCACAGAATTGTGGTGACGGCGTTCACGCCGGCAGCTGGACAGCAGACCTCAGAGCGCATGCGTGCTCATTTGGAGGGTTTAGGCTTTCCAATCCATGATAGACACGACGACGACGGAACACGACGTGTAGAGATCAACACGGTTCTGCAGCAGCAGCATCAACAACAACAACAGCAGGGTAGCACATGCGCGCCAGCAGAAGGCGCGCCGGAGCCGCTGGAGAATGCCTTGGGAGTTCAGGGTGTTCAGGGAGTTCAGGGAAGCTTAGGCGATGACCAGGGTGTTCAGGATTGCTTTCAGGGTTTACCTTATTTCGGTGAAGTCGTAGAAGTGAGCGATGGAGAGCTGTCAGAAGACTTGTTTCCTGAGCTCGTGCACTCAACGAAGCAAAGAGCCGATGAGCAGCGACCTGATTGCGAAGATAATTTGGATGTGTATGAGCCTTCACTTCCTGAGGAGGAGAAGCCTGTTGACCAAGGTCCAGAGTCTTTGCCACCTGATGCGATTCCTAAGCCGAAGCCTGGAAGGACAATAGATGATTTGAGAACTCGAGGACTCCGACGACCACACCTTCGTTTGAGTGCAGAGCAGGTTGCAACGGGAGTGATGTCCATTGATCTTGCTGGTCCTTACCGTGAGGGCTATGATGGCGCAAGATACATGTTGGTTGCAGTGCTTCGTCTAGCTGATGGATGCAACTTGCAGTATACAAGGCCTCTCCGACACCGACATTGGCAGCTAGTGTACGAGCAGCTTCAAAGTATTCTTTCACAGATTGCAGCTACAAGTGGCGACAAGCCAGAGGTAGTGAGAATACACTCAGATCGAGCGCGAGAGTTTATTGCAAAGCAGCTTGTGGAAGGCATCAACAAAATGGGCGTGTTCAAAACAACCACCTGCGGGTATGACCCTCAAGCAAACGGCTTAGCAGAAAGGTGCATTGGCATGCTCAAGGAGAAGGCCAGAGGTTTTCTGATCAAAGGACGGCTTCATGTGGCATATTGGCCGTTGATGATGCACGAAGCTGCGCGTAGGCATCGTGATGGAGTGCTGGGAGTCAGGACTCAAGGCCAACGTCCTGATCCAGGTCAGAAGGTGGCCATTCGGGTCATTAATCCTGGACCGTTTGATCCGAGAGCTGAGCCTGCAACTTTCTTGGCGCAATGCGATGATGTATCACGCGGTGCATTAGTGCTGGTTGAAAGGAACGGGCAACAGAAAGTCGTGACAGCAAGGCTTCCAACAACTCTGGACACACAGAGCGCAACTTGGAGAACACATACCACACCGCTGGGTGATCTTGTTTGGATCTCTTCGAAGGGCGACGTGCGAGACGGTGAGTACATCAGAGATTTAGGTCACGATCTTGGTTTGCTAACCGTCGAGGAGCGCGAATACGGCCCTGAAGAGGCGAAGGAAGCAGATTTCTTCCAGGCGGCGAAGTGTGAAGCAGCATGCAACAAGGCTGTGGAGAGTTCAGCTAAGGATGCTGAGGTCACCAAGTCCAGGGATAAGAATCTTGAGTGGCTTGAGGGAAAGACCTGCACCGTTTGTGGGAAATCTTCCAAGGCATGCTATCTTGAGAAGCTGGATAAGGTGACGCCAGAGCCATGTGGATATCAGGTTCCTGGATTTGATGAAGAAGCAGAGATGGTTGAGCAAGAGCGTCTAGCCCAGGAGCTCAAGAGCTTTAAGGCAAGCGCGGAACCATGTGGAAACGATGTTTTCTTCGGCCCACGTCGCGAGGATTGGATTGGAGCGGCACGTAAGGAGCTCGACAACATGACGGTGCATCAGAAGGTTTGGATTGAGGTTCGAAAGGGCCATATCCATGAGGATTTGGGTCTAGACAGAAGCGTGAAGCTTCCTAAGGCCCTACCGATGCAACTTGTCAACACCTTGAAGCCTTTGAATGAAAGCTCTGGACCAATCGACGAGCCGAAAGTGAGGATCGTAGCATGCGGAAATTTCCAACATGATTCCCAGGACAAAGAGGACTTGAGCACGCAGAATGTGGACATGTCTGTCTTGAGGACCATGGCTAAGGAAACTGCTCTAAGGCCATCGTGGATCATGGGAGCAGGTGACATCAGCGCAGCATTTTTAAACACCTTCTTGGGTGGTAAAGACTTGGTCATTCTTGAGCCGCCGGCAGTCCTTAAACGACTGGGTTTGATTGCGGAAGATGTTCAGTACGTCCCAATCAGAGCAATCTACGGGTTGCGACGGTCCCCTTTGGACTGGAGCCGGGATCGAGACGGCAAGATTTCCGGTAAGGTTTTGACCGATGATCAAGGAAGGCAGATCCACTGCGTGCCTATCGCGCACCAGGACGGTCTGTGGAAGCTGCTATGTGGTGACACTCTAGTGGGATTAGTAGCCATGTATGTAGATGATTGCTTGGTAACGGGCGAACGATCTGCAGTGGAAGCGTTCTTGCAGTTTGTGAGCGCAGAGTGGCGAACGAAAATCCAGGGTTTCATCGCGAGACAAACGGACGTGCAAGTGAAATGCAACGATGAACAAGTGGCACAGAAGCAAGCGCTGAACTTCTTGGGAGTAGAAATTTCCTTCGAGGGGGATAAGATCGTTATCCAGCAGCGCCGCTGGATTCTTCAAGAGCTGAATCGCAGAGGCTGGGTTCATATGAAGGGTTCGCAGTCACTTCCTCAGCTGGAGATGGCCGAGGATGAAGCACTTGACGAGCATCATGCCAAGAATCTGGCCAATGCACGGTCAGAAATTGGAGCTCTGATGTGGATTGGAATTCGGAGTAGACCCGATGTCCTTGCTGCTGTGTCAATGGGAGCGAGTGTTATGCATCGCCGACCAGAGGCGATCTGTAAGTTCTGTGTGGGTTTGTGGCGCTATGTGCGAGGGACCCTTGATGAGTGCTTGCAGTATGGACCGGATGGGAATCCGGGTGAGATGACTTTCATTTCAGATGCATCGTTCGCCCCTGAGGGCTCTCGAAGCCGGACAGGTGGCGTGTTGTGTTATGCAGGCAGTGTGATACATTGGTTCTCCTGTCGACAGACAGTCACTGCTTGGTCAGTTTGTGAAGCAGAAACGGATGCACTGGCTGAGACCTTGTCCCAGGGGATTCGTCTTACGTATGTGCTGCAGGATCTTCTTCATAAGCCTGTGACGAGGACGCTGACAGGAGATAACAGTGCTTCAATCATTCTTGCAACTCAGGATCGCATGCATTTTGGCAAGTGGAGGACTAGAGCTTTCGCTTTGAGGTGCAGCTGGATGCGCGATCAGATCCATCTTGAAGATGTGCAGGTGTTGCACACTCCAGGAGAACATCTCATTGCAGACATGCTCACGAAGATACTTCCAAAAACACGCCTCATGCACTTGAGACATCGTGTGGGCGTTGCGTCCATGCCAAAGATCACAGGATAAGCCAGCCGAGTGCTGGACATGAGTTTTGATTTTGCTTTCTGGAGTGGGGCCGAAGGAATAGTCCAGCCCGCTCAGATCTCCAGTTGCAGGGTCATGCTGCGGGGTCGCGACTTTTGTAGATTCTCTTCGCAAGTCGAGGAGGAGTGTGCGCATGACCCCTGCTCAGGATGACACGCACGACTAAGGAGTGTGCATGGCCCTTGCGAAGGATGACACGCACAAACCGAGGTGCGTGGGATGCCATGTATGGCTCAAGCGCGATTGAAAAAGGCATTCGGCCTTTGAGTGTGAGACACTGCATCGTGCGGGAAGTGCGAGAATCTTTGTGTCCTTTTTGGGTGATTGATGGGTTCGGGTTTGGTTTTGTGTGAGCCTTGGGGCCCATGTACAATCCTCTAGATGACCTACCGCATCAAATTAGACAGAGGCTCGCAGGCTCCCCAACTCCTACACACTACTCCATTGTTACTAATACCCCGAGTCCTGTAAATCCCCAACATCATCAACAATAAGGAACTGCATGTTGAGGGAGATTAGAAGCGATCGGCCAACATCCTTTCGGTGCGTCTTCAGTGGCAGAGACTGAGCTGAGAAGCTCTCGTAAGTGCGCTAGCTTGAGTCCCTATTGCAGCCCATTTCCCGAGGTGTAGCTAAAACCCTAACCTAAACGCTAAACCCCTCCTGCTTGATGTTGCAAATGTGCGACTGCGCTTTCCAACCTGAGCTACTGCATTGGTGGGGCCTGCGAAGCCGGCTTTCCTACTGATCAGACTGCTGGGTATTTCTCTAATCAGCAGCAGAGCCTCGCTGCAAAGTAGCGCTGCGACGACTCGTTGGGAAGTCAAGTCAGGTCTTGATCTGGTGTTAGCCTGAGGGATTGTCCTTATGTTGGTGTGTGATGTGGTGCATTTCTGTGCAATCTAGGTGTGCTGGATCTGACACTCCGTCCTTTCAAAGCCTGTGTGACAATCAGTTTGCAAAGGGTTATGCCAGTATCGGGTTAAGCTTGAGGTGGTGATGATGGTGAATCCCTCTGTTGTGTTCCAGGTCCCAGGGCCTGAGTCTAACAGACTTTCCGACTAACACATGTGGCAGGAGGGAAAGAGGTGACAAAAAAAATGGCCTAAAGCTCAAACCCCCAAAACCTAAACCCTAAATCCAGTAACCGAAACCCTAAACCCTAAACCCTAAGCCAGTGCTTCAGCAGGACGGCGAGGGCCACGGGAGTCCTGCCTCCCCGAGCCCTTTGCAGGCTCCTCTGTGCCCCGAGGGAGGGAGGGATGGGAGGTGAACGCGGGGGTCGAAGCCGGGTTTTTGGTATTTTTAGCTAGGCTAAAGGAAAAATTCGTGCCTTCACCGATTGTTCCTGAACTTGCCATGACGACACCATTTCGGACCTGGCCTTGTAGTATGCTTCTATAATCTCGCTGCATGAATTTGCAAGCACTCGTTGTATCCTCAGTACTGCTATGACAATTGTGGTTTGACGACTTAGGGCGAGTCAGGTTCCCTTTTGCAAGAGTGCGGCAGAAGCATAGCCATGATGGTGGGCCTCGTTCCAGGTCGTGTTTTCCGAATCCGAGGGTGCTGCAGATTTCATGGTTAGCACAGCGAGGATCCGTCTGATCCAAGTGACTGCCTAGATCTTTCGCAAAAGCGTCACCGACATGCCTGTACCTTTCTCGCAAGATGTCACATCTAAATGAACCGAAGCTCCCTCCTAAACCCTAAACCCTGCAAACCCTAAACCCTAAACCCTCCTAAACCCTAAACCCTGCAAACCCTAAACCCTAATCGAAATCTTGCCCCCGAGGTACAAGCTTTCGCAGGAGGTCTGTGACTTGCAGGCGCCGGCTTCCAGGGGCCCTTCGGGGCCTTGGGGATGTATAGTAAAGCATTAAAGTTGGAACATGAGGTAAGAATGATGAGTGCTGGATTTGCATCTGTTCTTTTTGAAGGGGTATGAGGATTTTTGACTTTCCACCTTGTGGCTTCTGGAAGAGGGCTTCGGTGCGAATGGCTTGCAAGTTGAGGTGTGTGGCCTAGGCTGAAGCTTTTGATGGTTTCAAGACCTCGCACTGCATAGCACATGCTGCAGGGATTTTTCGATTTTTCCGATGATGGGTTCTTACAGCTCGGCTTTGGATCCAGACCCAGCCGAGAGCAGCAAAACGTCCAGATGCACTGGTTTCATTAATTCACAGTCTTGGACAGCTTGTCCTGCGAACCTTGAGCTTCCCTGCGGAACTTGAACGCCCCAACCTTCTCCAGTCTCCGAATGGTTGAAGTATGTATACAGAGAACCTTCTTGGACTTGTCCTAGTTTGTCGTAGTGTGTTTGTTGTTGTATTGGTGATCTCTCTGAGGCCCAGCATCCAATGCTTTGTTGCTTGTTCTTGTGGGAGCCAATCGAAAAATCAAATGTTTGTGTGAGAGAACAATCTTCGCAAGAGGCAGACTGGGGGTAGTGTTATTGTTGGGAACAACGATAGACAATCGACACAAGATTGCAAGTACCGGCAAGAAGGATAATATCAGTATGGGACAAGACTGACAAGCAATCTTGCATTGAGCATCTCATCAGCATTATCATCATCAACTTTGTTGTTGCTGTTGCCGTTGGTCTTCGCCGCCCCTGGCAGCAAAAGGGAAGCCTTGCACTTGTGGAGGCTCGGCTCCTCTACTCCCGGCTCTACCACGAACTCAAGGACGTGATGATTACAGTGAGTGGGCTGGAAGGATTCAAGACGACCAGAAACTACGGGCAAAAGTAGCTACTCTGCAGTCATCATAGTATTTGCTGTTGTCGTGGTCGTGGCGAGGACGAAGATGCTGCGGAAAATGCACAGCACGAAGGCCTCTGCGTCAGTGGGATTAAGACCTATGGTTTCAGCTATTGGCCCTTGATGTTTGAGGCTCACTGTGCCAGAGATTACCGTTTTCAGGGCCAGGAGAGTTGGGATTTAACCATGTCTTCGTGACACCTGCATGTTGATGTTGTAGCACCGCCACTCCAAACTTGAGCACTGTACGACATGTCGAACTACTTCGTTGGTTTCAATCGCCGCACTGTTGAGTGGAGTTTGCAACGAAAGAATGACCAGGTGGCAGTTTATGGTTTCTATAGAGGCACCTATTCAAAATTATTCTATCGAGGTCCGTAAACTACAACCCAGAAGAGCCTTCTTCGATGCAGGTCAGGTTGACTTCGAAGCGGTGGATGAGCAGCTCCGTGATCTCGAGGACCAGGCATCTATACAGGGTTCCTTTAAAGCGATCTATGGGGGTTCCTCTAAGGGCACCGGGGAATGACGAACAAGCGGGTGTTTCTGAAAATTGGGGTCCTTTTCTGGGTTTCCTGGCAGTCTGGATCCTACAGTGAACACTTCAACGGCTGGGTTCGTGGGTATGGGTGTGAGAGATGAGGATTCCCGTTCATTCGTAAAGCCATCTTCGACCACATGCGCACTTTTGGAACTGTCCCGGTGTGGATCCGAGTTGCGACCTGCAAGTACGAAGCTAGGGCTGTTGCCTTTTCTCGCACTTTGTGAGACTACCGCTACACTTCTGCATGTCAAAACAACCTCCAGACCCCAAGCCTTCAAACCTGGTCGAAGCCCTGTGATACTTAGAGGATCATGGGACTTAGTAAGTAAGGTTATAAGTCCCCTACTTGGGGTTATAAGTAATTATAAGTATAGTTACCTTATTTATAACCCCAGTTACTAAGTCCCATGAGCCTTTAAGTATAGGTACCCCAAGCTGTGGGGTCCGAGCACTGCTAATCAGCCCACCTGGTTTCCCGAGTTGCCAAGGTTCGCCAGTTGGAGGAGGCCCGGTCCCAAAAGCCGGGTTTAGGGCAGGTTGTCATTGCCGTGGTGGTTTGATGGTCGTGCTCAAGCGGCGACGACGAACGACACTAAGCATACGAGTTGGACACAAGGTGCAGTATCAGGCAATAAAGTCTATGGATATCGTCAGGTAGATAGATAGATATCGATAGATCGGTAGTTAGAGACACAGACGGATAGATAGGTACTGGTAGATAAACAGACAGGCAGATAGACAGACAGTGACAGATAGATAAGATGCGTCAGTCAGCATCGAAACGAGCAAGCCAACACAGCACCATAATAAGCAGAGTAGCAGCAGTAGTCACCAATACTTCGGCTACGTTGCATTACTGGGCAGCAGCTGTCTGTTATTCCGGTGAACGTAACGTGACCTAACAACAGTGCTGACGAAGGCGGAGCGCGCCCCATTACTCTTGAACATTTCATGTTGGTATAACCGGTTGGCAGCCAGTAATACTCTCGTTTTCACCTGGGCAACCTAGGACAGCTTCAGACATTGTCCTGTAGTCATGAAGCAACAGCCAGGCTTTAGGACTTCTGAGCACTGGTGATATCATGACATACTAGTAACATGTCAACACAGGCTGGCCCGCCCTAAAGACCCAGTCAGTTGGAATACCGTCCCGAGGCGCTTTGTGCTTAGTGCTTGTCCTTATACCGCTGCTGCCCCTCCTCCTCCTCCTCCTCCTCCTCCTCCTCCTCCTCCTCCTCCTCCTACGAACAACAACAACTGCTCACCACCACCACCACCACCACCACCACCACCACCACGATCTGCTGCTGCTGCTGCCGCTGTACTACTACTACTACTACTACTACTACTACTACTACTACTACTACTCCTACTACTACTACTACTACTACTACTGCTGCTACTGCTGCTACTACTACTACTGCTACTACTACTACTACTACTACTACTACTGCCACTGCTACTACTGCTGCTACTACTACTGCTGCTACTACTACTGCTACTGCTACTGCTACTGCTACTGCTACTGCTACTGCTACTATCCCTACTCCTACTCCTCCTCCTACTCCTACTCCTACTCCTACTCCTACTACTCGTACTGCTACTCCTACTCCTACCACTACTACTGCTACCACTCTACTTACTACTACTGCTACTATTACCACTGCTACCACTACCACTACTACTACTGCTACTACTGCTACTACTGCTACTACTGCTACTACTGCTACTACTGCTACTACTGCTACTACTGCTACTACTACTACTACTACTACTACTACTACTACTACTACTCCTGCTACTACCACTGCTACAACAACAACAACTACTACCCCTACAACAACAACAACTACTACTACAATTACCGAACTTCCATTTTCCATACACTGACAGTGAAACCGTAGCTTTCAATCGACCTGCCCAAGCCCTGCCAGGCTATCACCCCAGAGCCAGAGGCACGGCCCGAGTCGACGTGTCGTCCTTCGGAGCTCAACGAGGCACGTGGGGTTGAAGAGGCTTTATTAAAGGATGAGGAATAGTATCCGGTATCCCCTTATAGCCCCTATATGACTATACTATGTTAATCCCCAAAAACTTGCTCTATATCTTAGAGCGCGTGTATTGCATGTGTTCACATGTGACGACAAGCAGTGTTACGAGCAAGGGAGGCCCATCCTTCGCTCGGGCCTACCCACAACTGCAACCCCAACAAGAAACTCGCGTAAATCTGAAAGTTTATTGGGGTTTCGGGGACGCTGAATCCTACAGCCAAGCCCTGAGCTGTTCAGGCGCTGGTTCCGCAAAATGTGCCGCAAAGCGATGACCGAGAAATGCTTCTTGGCCTGGGCCCGGCACTTGGCGGATTGGGGTTCACACGCGCTCTAAGATATAGAACAAGTTTTTGGGGGGTTTAGGGTTTAGGGTTTAGTTTTTTTTTTTTTTTCCTTGACGGCTCCTGCAAAGCCGAACCTCCAAGACCGGAAACACCAAAACTCTGAACGAGCACAGGTGAGGAGTGCCTCGCCAGTCTCGCCGACCGTGTGGGGCTCAGCTTTTCTGACGGTTCGGGGGTTTCAGAGGTTCCCTAAAGGCACTAAGGGCTTTATATGGGGTTTTATTGCATGGGGTTGTATAAAGGTTCTGTGCGGTTACTCCAAGCTATGAGGCATCAACAGGGATGAATCAAAAGCTTTAAGCTCTAGGTCAACAAGGAGAGAGCACATCTCGTTGCAATGGGGACAAGCCTGCACCCAACCGCCTAGTCTTTTGACCCGAAGCCTAAACAAACCTTAATTAAACCCTGAAGCCCAAACCATAAGCTTTGAAACCCTAAACTCTAAACCCTAAACCCCTAAATCCTAAACCCTAAACCCCTAAATCCTAAACTCGCCTGGGTGCTCCAAGTCGAGAGAAGGATTGGAGCCCCTCGAGAAGGCTTTCCGGCTTGTGGCGGAGTGTTTCGGCCATCTCGGTCCTGTCCTTGGCTGCTGAACTAGATCATCTAGATCATTTAAACTCAGACACACACACACACACACCGGCACCTACAGATGTATGTATATGTAAAGTATGTATATGTACGTATACACATATGTACATATCACATCTCTCTCTCTGTAAACAATTAGATAACCATCTATCTACATGTCTATCTATCTGTTTACCCACCTATCCATCTATCCATCTATCTATATCTTGCAACTACGGCTAGACACACACACACACACACAATCACATTTGCGGATGCCGTATGTGTAGCCATGCATGCATATACATATACATATATACATATATGTGTGTATACATATGTTTTTGTATATATATATATATATATGCACATGTATACATGTGCATGCATGTCTTTCTGTCTGTCTGTTTGCTTGTCTGTCTGGCTGGCTGTATGTATGTGTGCAATTGTATAACAATCTATGTGGTTATGCAGCTCTTTACAATCATCTGTATGTATACATGAACATAAAGTATCATCCACGCATGCATGCATAGATGAGATGCATACATGCATGGATGCATATATACACATATACATCGCATGTGGTTGCATACATACATGCATACATACATACATGCACGTGTACATACAAACACACATGTGTTCGTATGTAAATATATACATATGAACATATGTACATATCTACATGTACATCAAATTGTACATGTGTAGGCTTTTATTCATCACAAAGTATCAGACGGTTTTTGCGGGGTATCAGCCACTGGAGGATTGCTGCAGGATTGGATTCGTACAGTAGGAAAGCTTACCAGGATTGTTGGAACATGAAACAAGCAGCCTTGTAGGCACATCAGGTTTAGCTTGGTGTATGATTTTGTTTGTGAGTAGCATACTGCCTCTTTACGCATGCTTGTTTACTGTTGCTTCACATCGAATTTTTGTTGTGCGATCCTCGGGGTCTGCATCGAGCTGCTGCAGGCCCTTGTTACTACTGCCACAGCTACTCGGCCTGCTGTAGCTCCTACTGCTCCTACTGCTGTGCTAGCTACTGGCATTGGTGGCAGTGATCGTACTGTTGATGGACAAAATCCTGCATGACCCACTATAAGGAATATACCATAGTTCCCATAGTTTAGAGTCCTTAGGGTCATGCAGGATTTTGTCCATCAACAGTAGCAGTGAATCACCACCCTGCCCGCGGAGGCCCAAAAGGCCTCATGTCATCTTTGGAGGCCGCCGCGGATTTCAGGGTTTAGGGTTTTTGGTTTAGGGTGCAGTTCTGGATACTTACAGAAAAACAACAATACTATGAATAGTAGTAAGAATCATACTAGTAACGAATGAGAACAATAGAAAATTATAAGGGTTGTACGGTTACGGTAGGAGTTGGGATAGGCTTTGTGGGGCTTGGTTGCTCGAGTGCGGCTAGATTGGGGGTCTTCTTACGCTTATTTCAAGCCTCTGAATTTCTGAGCCTATCGTCATGTGATTTGGCTCCTCAGCACAATCACAAGTCCCTCAATCGGGAGCCCTAAACTACTAATTTCGGGCCCGTGGGCTCGGGATATGTTCAGCTTGAATTCAAACTCAAGAAGACCTCGACATCCCCAGTCTGAAAAGCCTACAGGCTTTAGCGATGGGGTTATGCTATCATGCACATATGGCGATGGCGAGGGAGCATTCCGGGAGCAGCAATCCGAATTCTGTCGACTTCTTCGTTAGGTTCTTCTAGCCCAAAAACCGATCGAAAGTTTCCTTACATGAGACCTCCTGATGGCCCTGGCACCGCTACTCTGAAAGCCCCAAAGCCCCAAACTCCTGAAGCCCCGAAGCCGAAAACTCCACAGCCCAGCCTTAACAGCCAGCCCCTAAGCCCTCAAAGCCCCGAAAATCCGATCCCGGTGCAGAATGGGCACAGTGACGACGAGCTTGAGCAGCTGGTTGCCAAGGTGCCTGGGGATGTAGGATTTCAGTTCAGGGTCTGCAGTGCGATTTCGTTGTGGATTTTGGGCCTTGAGGGTTTTGGTTGCCGGGAGCTGGCCATTCTCGGTTTTCGGCATCTGGTGCAAAGCAGGAAGGAGCCGTTCTGCAACCGCAGAGGCCAAGACAGCATCAGATACCAAGAGCGAAGTTGCTGCGTTCTGACTCTGTATCCATTTCGCCCATGCACATTACAGTCTTGGGAACATCTTCGGTGCAAACAGCAGCGTGGATCCTTGTGCCGGCGACATGGCTCTCCAAAACTGGGTGAACCCGTGCTTGAGAGGGCCAATGTTGTGAAGCGACATGAAAGGAAGTGGATTATGAGGATCATGAGCGCCCTCTACCGACGTCTCAGTGAGGATAGAGCTATGACTGGAATGAGACTGTTGCCGCCAGTCGAGCTGAACAGATGAGTGTTGAGCCATCTGTGTTTCGCGTTGCCTGCTGCTGGGATGATAGGGCCGGTTTGCAGTTGAAGGAAAGTGAAATGATGACTCTATGGCGCTCCGACACCTTCAGCTGCTGAGACACCCTTCTTAACCACCTTCGGGGTGAACCGGTGGTTAAGAGGGCCGATTCCACAGCCGGTGATGCATCGCCAAGGGCTGACACGGGACACATTAGCCTTGCACGTTTTCGACGTGAAGTGAATTGGGTTTCGTGTATCATGAGCTCCCTCTACCGACTGCTGCCGGAATGAGACTGTTACTGCCAGTCGAGCTGAACAGATGAGGGTTGCGTCATCTGCGTTTCGCGTTGCTTGCTGCAGGGATGCTGGAGTTGGTGTGCAGTTGCAAGTAGGTGAAATGATGACTCTATGGCGCTCCGACACTTTCAGCTGCTGAGACACCCTTCTTAACCACCTTCGGGGTGAACCGGTGGTTAAGAGGGCCGATTCCACAGCCGGTGATGCATCGCCAAGGGCTGACACGGGACACATTAGCCTTGCACGTTTTCGACGTGAAGTGAATTGGGTTTCGTGTATCATGAGCTCCCTCTACCGACTGCTGCCGGAATGAGACTGTTACTGCCAGTCGAGCTGAACAGATGAGGGTTGCGTCATCTGCGTTTCGCGTTGCTTGCTGCAGGGATGCTGGAGTTGGTGTGCAGTTGCAAGTAGGTGAAATGATGACTCTATGGCGCTCCGACACTTTCAGCTGCTGAGACACCCTTCTTAACCACCTTCGGGGTGAACCGGTGGTTAAGAGGGCCGATTCCACAGCCGGTGATGCATCGCCAAGGGCTGACACAGGACACAGTAGCCTTGCACGTTGTCGGCAGGACATGAAGTGGGTTGCGAGGATCATGAGCTCCCTCTACCGACTGTCACGAAAATGAGACTGTTACTGCCAGTCGAGCTGAACAGTTGAGTGTGGTCAGCTCTGTTTTGTGTTGCTCGCTGCGGGATGCTGGTGTCGGTGTGCAGTTGCAAGTAGGTGAAATGATGACTCTATGGCGCTCCGACACTTTCAGCTGCTGAGACACCCTTCTTAACCACCTTCGGGGTGAACCGGTGGTTAAGAGGGCCGATTCCACAGCCGGTGATGCATCGCCAAGGGCTGACACAGGACACAGTAGCCTTGCACGTTGTCGGCAGGACATGAAGTGGGTTGCGAGGATCATGAGCTCCCTCAACCGACTGTCACGAAAATGAGACTGTTACTGCCAGTCGAGCTGAACAGTTGAGTGTGGTCAGCTCTGTTTTGTGTTGCTCGCCGCCGGGATGCTGGTGTCGGTGTGCAGTTGCAAGTAGGTGAAATGATGACTCTATGGCGCTCCGACACTTTCAGCTGCTGAGACACCCTTCTTAACCACCTTCGGGGTGAACCGGTGGTTAAGAGGGCCGATTCCACAGCCGGTGATGCATCGCCAAGGGCTGACACAGGACACAGTAGCCTTGCACGTTGTCGGCAGGACATGAAGTGGGTTGCGAGGATCATGGGCTCCCTCTACCGACTGTCACCGGAATGAGACTGTTACTGCCAGTCGAGCTGAACAGTTGAGTGTGGTCAGCTCTGTTTTGTGTTGCTTGCTGCCGGGATGCTGGTGTCGGTGTGCAGTTGCAAACAGGTGAAATGATGACTCTATGGCGCTCCGGCACTTTCAGCTGCTGAGACACCCTTCTTAACCACCTTCGGGGTGAACCGGTGGTTAAGAGGGCCGATTCCACAGCCGGTGATGCATCGCCAAGGGCTGACACAGGACACAGTAGCCTTGCACGTTGTCGGCAGGACATGAAGTGGGTTGCGAGGATCATGAGCTCCCTCTACCGACTGTCACGGGAATGAGACTGTTACTGCCAGTCGAGCTGAACAGTTGAAAGTGGTCAGCTCTGTTTTGTGTTGCTTGCTGCCGGGATGCTGGTGTCGGTGTGCAGTTGCAAACAGGTGAAATGATGACTCTATGGCGCTCCGGCACTTTCAGCTGCTGAGACACCCTTCTTAACCACCTTCGGGGTGAACCGGTGGTTAAGAGGGCCGATTCCACAGCCGGTGATGCATCGCCAAGGGCTGACACAGGACACAGTAGCCTTGCACGTTGTCGACATGACGTTAAGTGGGTTGCGACGAGGATCATGAGCTCCCTCTACCGACTGTCACGAAAATGAGACTGTTGCTGCCAGCCGAGCTGAACAGTTGAGTGTGGTCAGCTCTGTTTTGTGTTGGTCGATGCCGGGATGCTGGTGTCGGTGTGCAGTTGCAAGGGTGATGCATCGCCAAGGGCTGACACAGGACAAAGTAGCCTTGCACTTTTTCGACGTGAAGTGAATTGGGTTTCGTGTATCATGAGCTCCCTCTACCGACTGCTGCCGGAATGAGACTGTTACTGCCAGTCGAGCTGAACAGATGAGGGTTGCGTCATCTGCGTTTCGCGTTGCTTGCTGCAGGGATGCTGGAGTTGGTGTGCAGTTGCAAGTAGGTGAAATGATGACTCTATGGCGCTCCGACACTTTCAGCTGCTGAGACACCCTTCTTAACCACCTTCGGGGTGAACCGGTGGTTAAGAGGGCCGATTCCACAGCCGGTGATGCATCGCCAAGGGCTGACACAGGACACAGTAGCCTTGCACGTTGTCGACATGACGTGAAGTGGGTTGCGAGGATCATGAGCTCCCTCTACCGACTGTCACGGGAATGAGACTGTTCCTGCCAGTCGAGCTGAACAGTTGAGAGTGGTCAGCTCTGTTTTGTGTTGCTTGCTGCCGGGCAAATAGGTGAAATGATGACTCTATGGCGCTCCGACACTTTCAGCTGCTGAGACACCCTTCTTAACCACCTTCGGGGTGAACCGGTGGTTAAGAGGGCCGATTCCACAGCCGGTGATGCATCGCCCAGGACTGACACAGGACACAGTAGCCTTGCACGTTGTCGACATGACGTGAAGTGGGTTGCGAGGATCATGAGCTCCCTCTACCGACTGTCACGGGAATGAGACTGTTGCTGCCAGTCGAGCTGAACAGTTGAGTGTGGTCAGCTCTGTTTTGTGTTGCTCGCTGCTGGGATGCTGGCGTTGGTGTGCAGTTGCAAGTAGGTGAAATGATGACTCTATGGCGCTCCGACACTTTCAGCTGCTGAGACACCCTTCTTAGCCACCTTCGGGGTGAACCGGTGGTTAAGAGGGCCGATTCCACAGCCGGTGATGCATCGCCAAGGGCTGACACAGGACACAGTAGCCTTGCACGTTGTCGACATGACGTGAAGTGGGTTGCGAGGATCATGAGCTCCCTCTACCGACTGTCAGGGGAATGAGACTGTTGCTGCCAGTCGAGCTGAACAGTTGAGTGTGGTCAGCTCTGTTTTGTGTTGCTCGCTGGTGTTGGTGTGCAGTTGCAAGTAGGTGAAATGATGACTCTATGGCGCTCCGACACTTTCAGCTGCTGAGACACCCTTCTTAACCACCTTCGGGGTGAACCGGTGGTTAAGAGGGCCGATTCCACAGCCGGTGATGCATCGCCAAGGGCTGACACAGGACACAGTAGCCTTGCACGTTGTCGACGTGAATGAATTGGGTTTCGTGTATCATGAGCTCCCTCTACCGACTGCTGCCGGAATGAGACTGTTACTGCCAGTCGAGCTGAACAGATGAGGGTTGCGTCATCTGCGTTTCGCGTTGCTTGCTGCAGGGATGCTGGAGTTGGTGTGCAGTTGCAAGTAGGTGAAATGATGACTCTATGGCGCTCCGACACTTTCAGCTGCTGAGACACCCTTCTTAACCACCTTCGGGGTGAACCGGTGGTTAAGAGGGCCGATTCCACAGCCGGTGATGCATCGCCAAGGGCTGACACAGGACACAGTAGCCTTGCACGTTGTCGACATGACGTGAAGTGGGTTGCGAGGATCATGAGCTCCCTCTACCGACTGTCACGGGAATGAGACTGTTCCTGCCAGTCGAGCTGAACAGTTGAGAGTGGTCAGCTCTGTTTTGTGTTGCTTGCTGCCGTGTGCAGTTGCAAGTAGGTGAAATGATGACTCTATGGCGCTCCGACACTTTCAGCTGCTGAGACACCCTTCTTAACCACCTTCGGGGTGAACCGGTGGTTAAGAGGGCCGATTCCACAGCCGGTGATGCATCGCCAAGGGCTGACACAGGACACAGTAGCCTTGCACGTTGTCGACAGGACGTGAAGTGGGTTGCGAGGATCATGAGCTCCCTCTACCGACTGTCAGGGGAATGAGACTGTTGCTGCCAGTCGAGCTGAACTGTTGAGTGTGTTCAGCTCTGTTTTGTGTTGCTCGCTGCCGGGATGCTGGTGTCGGTGTGCAGTTGCAAGACTGTTTGAGCTGAAGACTTTATATGCGATAAGAAGGGCCCTAAACGGGAGCACAAGTTCGAGCCGCGGCACAAGGTGAGCAACTTGCAGCTGAATCCCGCCCTGGAGGACTGCGCAGTTCTCCTGCTTCGTGTGTTGGGTGGTTGTCAAAATCAGGGTCCCTATTTGGGTCCTTATGATAGTACGGCACCTAATATTTCGGGTACCCAAAAAGGGACCCTAATTTTGACAACCACCCATGTGTTAGGCGGTCTGCGAGTGTCATGTAGTGAATGTTGTGTACTACAGTGTGGTTGAAGTCGGAATATACCATCTTGACGTATCACCATTGTACGTTAACTTTGCTACAGAGAACCTTACGAGCGCCACTTGGGTGATTAGTCCGGTGGCGCAGCCAGAGGTTTGCTTACGCGAAACACCAGCGCTGGTTGGCCGAACTTCACTGAAGCCCTGGTTCTTTGCACTTTGCACTGGATACCCGAACAATGCAAGTGAGACAGTTCTTGGGGATTCAGCACAGAGCTGGCACTGATGCCAGCTGATATGATTTTCAGCATTTCATCATCAGGGTTGCGCTTGCATTGCTTCCAGGAAGCCCAAAGCCTGCCCCACGAACCCGAGACCCTAGACCTTACCTGATTATTATTTATATCATTATTAGTATTATTATTATTATTATGATTATTATTATGATTATTATTATTATAATCAAATCCTTACCTGAGGCTCATATCCAGAAGCTCCACGGCCCTCGACCCCGAAGAGCCTCAAAGCCCGGGATGAAGGGCTTCTGGCATTTGTGGCACCTGACTCACAGGTCCTTTTTTCATCCGAATCCGATAAATGTTGTTTTTGGGAGCTGAAATTTTAATCCCACCAACCGATTTAGGCTTCTCTGGGTTTCAGAAACGACCGACGTCAACAAGGCTCGCGACTTGGAGGCGTTGGCATCGAAAGTCTGCTGCCAAGAGGAGGCCCAACCTCTGCTGAACATGAAGCATCTCCTGAGGTGTTTGCAGATTTGTTCATGAGGAGCAGTAGTGCGTCTTCCTTCAAGGCATGTGCAGACTGTTCTGAATGCAAAGTTCCTTGGCGACCCTCCAGTAGTTTACTGGAGGAGCGACCAGTGTCGCCCCGTGCTCACGAACATATGCCGATTCTTACTTCCTCAAGTCCTTATGTCTACATAGCAGTAAAGCCTACACCCACTTCGATGTTGTAGCAGGCTGTTGCGCGACTCCGCGCCGACGTCGACGAGCTGCAGCTACTGAACCGAAAGGTCGGATTTGGTACGGTTTGTGTAGAGACGTCTACGGGCAAACCCATTCAAGTAGACATTGGTTTCGGTGTGCGATAGCTGCATGTCTAAGGAATGAAAAGACTGTTCCTGATAACTATATTCAAGGTTTTGCTTCGGCTTAGGGTTTAGGATGTTCGCGATCCCCGAAACCGAGTATAGAAGCCTGAATAGTCAGCACTAATATTCTTTCCTAAGGTTCCGTATGATATTCATGCTGAATGTGTGCAGTTTGCCTTGTGGCAGTTGAAGCAGCACCCCAAGCCTTTCCCGAGATGTTGTTCCATAGGGGAGTTTTCAGGTTTGGGTCGCAAAGGAACAAGATCCTGGTCATAGATACCCCAGCCGAAGACCCCGAAGCTGCGAACCCTCAAATCTCTGTATTGGTTGGGTAACATTTTACATTTTTATGGGTACTTGAACCCAATAAGGAATAAGAACATACATTCTTAATCCTATCCCAACAAAGAACTAGAAACCCTAAACCTCGGACTGGCGAATGCCAAGCGCGGCTAAGCTCCGAAACTCCAAAGCATCCCTAAAACAAAATCTCACCACATTCTACCACGGAAAGCCGTTTAATCCCACGCCCCAAATTACATCCAGCAACAGGCAGCCAAACCCAAAACGCCTGACCTTCAACCGAAACTTCAAAGGGTAGTTGTCAAAATTATGGTCCCTTTTTGGAGTACCCTAAATATTAGGTGCGGTATTATCTTAAGGACTTTAACAAAGAACCACCCATAATGTAAACTCGCTCTGAGCCAGGTGGCTTCCCCCAGCTCGAAGGTGTCTCCTCTGGCCATGGCACGCGGGAGGCTCTTGTACCTACCTTTGGTTAGTAGGGAATGGAAGAATGGTAGTAATAGTAGTTCTAATTGTAATCCATTCCTCCATTCCCTACCAACCAAAGGTAAGTGTAGTAGTGACTGGTTTAGTTTGTCAGGGTTGTTGTCATGCTTCTTTTGCTCAGTAGGACTCTTTCAACATTGGTGGTGTGAGAATGGAATTCGACTCTTCTCGCTTCTCACGGCCACTGCAGGATTTCGTGGTGTTTGTGAAATTACTAGTCGTCGTGTTCGTCATCGTAGTCATACTGCAGTCGTTGTCGTTGGAGTCGTCATCGTCGTGGTTGTGGTGGTTGTTGTCGTGTCGTCCTCGGTCGTCGTAGTTGTTGTCGTAGTCGTGGTCGTCGCCATAGCAGTAGCAGTAGCAGCAGCAGGAGCAGGAGCAGGAGCAGGAGCAGGAGCAGGAGCATTAGCAGTAGCAGTAGCAGTAGCTGTAGCTGTACAAGTAGCTGTAGCAGTAGTAGTAGTAGCAGCAGCAGCAGCCGCAGCCGCAGTTGTAGTGGTAGCAGCAGCCGCGCTGCGAGTATCAGGAAAATGAGGAGGAACTTAGGCAAAAGCCGCAGCCGTAATTGTTGTTTGTCATCATCGCCACAGTTGCAGATTGAGGCCGAGCCTTGATCAGCACCCAGACCTAGAACGCAAATCCTAAACCCTAAGCCCTAACTTCGAAGGCTTGACATGCTCAGTGCTGAGATGGACGAGTTGCATTCCCGCATGAGAGATGGTGCAGGCCCGGCTTGAGCTCTGGGTATTGGGTATGTTTTGCCAGGTCCAAATCCTTGCAGCGGAACTCTTGAAACCAATGGACTCGTAAGTCGTAAGACCGACCGCTGACATTGCAGCCCTCAGCCGAGGACAAATCATGTGCGCAGAGATTTAGGCTGAGCGTACAAGCAATCTTGTATGATGCTTGGTTTATTTAGGTTTCATCCCTGAAAACTAATTCATTGGAGTGCCGGCAGGTGTGCCGGCGTCCAACGCCAAACTCCAGGCTGCGCAAAAGACTGGCGCTTGTGTTCATCGTGCTACATCATGACATCAGCATCGCCGTCGTCGTCGTCGTCATGCGGGTGGAGGTTGTGGTTGTGGTAGTGGTGGTGGTTCTGGCGGTGGTGCGGGTGGTCGTCATGACGTTGACAGTTGGTGGCCGTCGTCGTTGCGGCGGTGGTGGTGCTCGTGGTCTTGGTCGTCCTTATGGTCGTAGTCGCGGTTGTGGTCGTTGTCCGTGGTCGTGGCTGCGGTTTTGGTCGTGGTCGTGGTGGTGGCGGTGCTTGCGTTGCTTGTGGTGGTTGTGCTGGTCGTGGGAGTCCGGTTGTCGTAGTGGTATTTAGTGGTGTCGGTGATGGCGGCATCATTGGACTAGCATTAGAAGTGCTGCCCGGTAGCAGTTCACTACTGGACGAAAACGAGGACTCCCACAACCAGCATCACCACCGGCACCGCCACGACCACTACTAGTACCATCGCCGCCACCACCAGCAGGCTACAGCACCTGTTTCATCCGCTGCTTCTTCCTCCTTGTCTCCATGGCATGACTGCTCTGCTAGCACTGCTACCTAAACGGCCATAGGCCCAGAGAAGGGCTGCAACCCCTAAATCCTGAAGTGCCTGAAATCTTTGCCTACCGTAAATCCCAACCCTAAAACCTTACAGCCCCTAAAGCCCCAGAGCCCCCCAAATCCTTACCCTCAAATCTTGTTCAAGTCCCTACAGTACTCAAAGCCCCACAGTCTCCTGAATCCTAAACTCTCGGATCCAGACCCCCGGAGCCTGAATCTCCAGCCTCAGGAGTGGCAGATCGCTCCAGGCGCAGGCCGCCAGGAACGTGTCATCACTATATGGGTGGTTGTGAAAATTAGGGTCCCTATTTGGGTCATTATTATAATACGACACCTATTATCTAGGGTATCCAAAAAGGGACCCTAATTTTGACAACCACCCATATATCACAGACGTATGTATGTATGTATGTATGTATGTATATATTGTATATATAAATATATACGCATCACATATGGTGTCTTATGCAGTTCTACATCATATGTTGTTCGTGGACACTTTCCTCAAGAGTCCAAACACCGTGGTGCGAAGCACTGCCAGCGGCTGGGGACTTCAGCAACCAGGACCTGAACATGTCTGACTGCAATCCTGCATTTACCCCGGCATGCACAGAAACGCAAAGCCTGTGAACACTCAACACATCGATGTGCGAACTTGTCTTGAAATTTGACACTTCTTCCCCGGGGTTTTTATATACACAATCGTGCTGGAGCAATGGTGCTCCCTCTGCATTTGGTGCAAGCCTTGGGTCGCCCCTGTGGGAGCAGCGCGGGTTCCCTCCATATCGACCTTCATGACCTTAAATCCTTGAGCTTAAACTTTACAATCCCTTCAGGGTAAAGGTAGTCTAAATCGTTGAAACCAAAGCCCTACCTCAAGTCCCACAGAGCCTCCAAGGCCAGTGGCTCCAGTAACCCCGTACCCGGCACAGGCGACGCAACCAACGGATCCTACGAGACGCAGGTGGCCTGGGTTGGGCGATCCGATTGACTGGAGTACGGCTTGTGGTTTAGGGTGAATCGTAGTATTTCAGGTTTCGGATTTCAGGGATTTTAGGGCTAAGACCCGTCTCCAAGGGTTGACCAGACGCTAAACCCGAAACCCTCTATGACCTTCAACGCTACGCTAATCCTTAAACCCCCGAGCCACAAGGCTTCTCAGTCCTGAAACCTAATGGCCTTAAAGTTTCACCTTGATCCGACCCCATAACCTCAACGACTGCAACGCGTATCGTTTCTTTTGAAGGACCCCCTCAGTTAGGCCTCATATGGTAACCTTGGAGGTAATTGCCCAAACCCCAAAGCCCCTACCCTAACCCCTCAACTAAGTAATCAACGTAACCCTGAACCCTGAATCTTAAGCCCAGAAAGAAGCCATTGCACTTTAAAAAAAGAATCTTAAGCCCTGAACGAACTATATAAGTGCCAAGCCCGGGATGCTGGCCCTCTCCGACTTCTGCCGCCGTCTGCTCAGGCCATGCCAGGCCCCAGATCTGCAGGCCTTGGTCTTGGTGGTTTTTGGGGTTCTGAGTATATCGATTGGGGTTTAGGGTCGTTACCATGATAACCATAAATGCTATATGACTCTGAGTATCGGTAGTTAGTTGCTAGCTACTATAACTGTAAGTGTTGTAAAATATGATGATATGAGTTTGAGCCTTCTGTAGTTACTAGTATAAGAAGAATATGAGTATGGATATGATCGGAGTATTTGTACCAGCATGAGTATTGGTACGAGTGCTTCTGCTCCTACGATTATCCGTGCCTGCGAGCCAACGCCTTCAAGAGGAAGCTACTAGCACCCCAGAGCCCTAAATACTCGAGGCTCAGGTGTCAAAGCAAGAATTTGGGTCTTTCTTCGCGAACCCCCTTCTTGTCCATGATTGAGGTTCATGCGAATCCGAAATCGTTGACATCTCCGCATGAGGCCTAGCCCAGTCACCTTTGCGCACAGCCGTGGGCTGACCTCTCCTAGAGGCTGGGAGTTGTGCTTTAAGCCACGGGTCATTGTAGGCTTGGGAAGCCGTTTCCTGAAGTCAGGGGCTAGCTAGTTCCCTGAACCCTGAACCCCAAACGTTTGAGGGAGCATCTACGGCGAGTGGCAGAAGTGATACCTAGATTGCGGGCTAGTGCCTTTTTTTAGAATCCGTTTGACTTGAGGCTCATCAAAGCATACAGAGCTCTTTTGGAAGGGTCCGAGATTTTTCTTGCCGCCCTAAGCCCCAAGCCTCTCCTGCACCCAAAGGCCTAAGCCCTGGACACGAAACCCTAACACCCGACCTACCCAGCCCTACTTCATACTACTGTACCCTGCCCTACCATGCTATACCCCAATCCCTAAACCCTAAACCCCAAACCCTAAACCCTAAACCCTAAACTCCAAACCCTTAAACCCTAAACCCGACCCGAACCTGCAGGGTGGGCCCGGGTCGACCGGAAGAGGGCGCTCCTCTTCGCGACGTGACGCGACCCGTGAAGCTGAAGGATCCATGGGCGCAGAAATGGGGCCCCAAAAGGCAAAGCGGGTAGTAGTAGTAGTAGTAGTAGTAGTAGTAGTAGTAGTAGTAGTAGTAGTAGTAGTAGTAGTAGTAGCAGGAGTAGTAGCAGGAGTAGGAGTAGGAGTAGGAGTAGGAGTAGGAGTAGGAGTAGGAGTAGGAGTAGGAGTAGGAGTACGAGTAGGAGTAGGGGTAGGAGTAGGAGTAGGAGTAGGAGTAGGAGTAGGAGTAGGAGTAGGAGTAGGAGTAGGAGTAGGAGTAGGAGTAGGAGTAGGGGTAGGGGTAGGAGTAGGAGTAGGAGTAGGAGTAGGAGTAGGAGTAGGAGTAGGGGTAGGGGTAGGGGTAGGGGTAGGAGTAGGAGTAGGAGTAGGAGTAGGAGTAGGGGTAGGAGTAGGAGTAGGAGTAGGAGTAGTGGTAGTAGTGGTAGTAGTGGTAGTAATGGTAGTTGTAGTCGTGGTAGTCGTAGTAGTCGTAGTAGTCGTAGTAGTCGTAGTAGTCGTAGTAGTCGTAGTAGTAGTGGTAGTAGTAGTAGTAGTAGTAGTAGTAGTCGTAGTAGTAGTAGTAGTAGTAGGTAGTAGTAGTAGTAGTAGTAGTAGTAGTAGTAGTAGTAGTAGTAGTAGTAGTAGTAGTAGTAGTAGTAGTAGTATAATAATAGTAGTAGTAGTAGTAGTAGTAGTAGTAGTAGTAGTAGTATGGTAGTAGTAGTAGTAGTAGTAGTAGTAGTAGTAGTAGTAGTAGTCTTATGATATTCGTACCCATGGGCGCATGGATCTTCAGAAGCTTGCTGCGGGCTTCAACACAGAGCTAACTGTCACAGACGCTGCCGTATCACCTGCCTTGGAATCTCCAGGCATCGCCAACTGCAAGGATCTGAATTTGAAAGAAACGGCATAATGTAGGAGCCTCATTAAGCAACCCTGGGCCTAACCCCAAAATAGCAGGGTTCATACAAAGAACCCTGATAAAGGGCCAGGGTTTCTTAATCAGATTCCTACATTAAATCCCAGCCCCATTAGGAGCCTGAAGCCGAAAGCTCCCAGCACTCTGGCCTAGAGCTCCTGAAGCCTCGCAGACGAGATCGTTTGCCTGCTCGCCTTGAGATTTCGGGCTGAGGGCATCTTCACTATTTAACCCCATTGATATTGGGGGAGCTAAGGAGCCAGGGATGATGCTAATCCCGATTGAGCAAGGAGCTAAAGAGCCAAGGGAACCCCCAAAACCACTGGCTAGCTATTATTTAGTTCTTCCGGTGTTCAGGGGCTCCTCGTTTCGCGGCTTGGTGAAAGAAGTCATTCTCCAACAACTGCACTGTAGCTCGTGGTGAGTCTCGTAACCCTTTGCCGTAGTAGTGCTAATAATAAAAGTAATAATAATAATGGTAATAATAGCAAAAGTAATAATAGCAATAGTAACAGTAAGAACAATAGGTAGAAATCAGCATATTGCTAGCAATAACCACGGCAATCATGATAGTGATACGAAAATGAACTGGTTGCCGTTGCTGTTTGGCTTTGTAGGGGTATGTCCCTGCGTGCTGCATCACAGAGTCATGGCAGCTTACGTGGAGCAGGCTCGTCGCCTTTCGCGCTTGAACGGTCAAAAGTCGCATATAAGTCTGATGAGGCAGTGGGCTCAAATGTTGGACAATGGATGCACGTGTTTTTTCTAATAATTTTCTGCTCAGATGTGCATCCCGTTGTAGTGCGAAGCAGCAAGACTTCATTTCCGCGCTGCCCTTACTTACTTTTCGATCGATACAGTCCTTGTCTCTCTCTCTCTCTCTCTCTTTCTTCATCTCGCCCTCTTCAAGGGGTGGCTGAACACCAAAGGGCCAAAGGGCGAGCCTGCTGCACATGTGTTTTTTTCTGCCCTCCCATCCAGCTCAGGCTCAACCTTCTCTATAAACTTCAAATCTGCGTACATTCACACGACACAGACGCATGCACGCATGAGTGCACACACGAACTGACATATTCGTGGTGTTGCATGTGGCGCAAGAAGCTTGGCGCAGAATTCGGTAGTTGCACAGCGAAGCAACAGTGTACAAGATGTGGTATGCATACATGCAGTTGATGACGTCAAGGTTTGAAGTTCGATTGTCCGACAGCCATATTCATGTGGAGCAAGGTAACATCCCACGTCGCCGACTAGCTGGTAGCGGTCAGTTGGTCAAATATGTGACTCACAGACTGACTGCTTGCTTGACTCGATGACTAACTGGCAACTGGCGATAGATCGACAGAGAGACGGATGGATAGAGCGGTAGGTTGATAGATGGGTAAGTGCAAACGAAGAGACAGACCGACCAGTCGGCCGACCGACCGACCCACCTGCCTTCCTGCCTACCCAGCTATCTATGTATATGTGTAGTTATATCTGCATATATATGTATTTTGTCATGGTCAAAATCTATATCTGAATGTGAGCGTATGTGTGCTTCTATATACCGAATGCTGCACGCACATGTGTGTGTAAGTATGAACGTATAGCTGAAGCCAGCTTCCGCTATGTAGACGGTGGTATGCAGGGAAATGATATACTGAATCTGAGGATGGAAACTCTCAGTATCTCTCAGTCCTGGCCTGCGGAACTTTGAGAGGCCACTGCGCGTGGCCCGATGGGCAGCAATGGCTACTGGGCACAGGTTTAGGGTTTAGCTTCAACTGCCCTTTCATGAACGGTGCTCTAGCATCGCAGCAGATGCTCTTGCTTCGGATTGCATCATCATCCCTTAGCCCCAAGCCCTGAGCCCTTGAAGCCTCAACCCAACCCGTGAACTCGACCCGGAGCCGACCCTCAAATGCCCAGAGCTTGAGGCGAGTTGGTGATTTTAGTAGGTACTTCTTAACAGTGTAACCCTAAATAAACCTTGAACTACTTTAAAATATTTTAAATCCAAAATTAAGTAACACCTGAACCTCGTCTCAGCCTGATTTCGTGGGTTTCCACCGTGTCACGGTGTTGTCCAACGCGGTATCCTCAAGATCGCAGACATGTAAACGAAGGCCCCGATGCTGCAGATTCGTGAGACTCAACTCTTCGCTACGGTTGATGATATAAATCCTGCATTACCCATAATAAGGAAAAAAATATACAAATATATATATATATATATATATATATATATATATGGTACCCCCCCCCCCCCCAAAGATCTATGTATTTACTCTGTTTTCAGCTTTTTCCACTCACAATCATCTCCTCCTGACCATCCTTCCACTCACGGTCGATCCCTCATGACCGCTCATACCCCCCCTTCCACTCATGTAGCTCAGATCAGCACCTCATGACGGCACAGACCGACCATATTGAAACCCAATGTGGCCCAATATTTCAATATGGCCCCGAGGCTGGCCGCATTGAGTTTCAATATGGCGGATCCAAGATCCAAGATCCAAGATTCCCCAGGGCTCTTGAGCGGGAATCTTGGATCACGGATCTTGGGTCCGTCATATTGAAATTCAATGCAGCCTCAATATTTCAATATGGCCGTCCCTGAATCCAAGATTCCTTCCAGGAGTCCCGCGCAATCTTGGATCTTGGATCTTGGATCCACATTGAAATTCAATATGGCCTCAATATTTCAATATGGCCATCCCTGAATCCAAGATTTCTCCCAGGAGTCCCGTGCCATGTTGGATCTTGGATCCGCCATATTGAAATTCAATATAGCCTCCACATAAGGCCAAATTTGCCGAAGAAGAAGCCGTGCACTTTATTTGCGCTTCTTTTCGTTGAACTGACCTTCTGCCACGCTAGCCGCTGAGACACGAGTGGCAGATGTCTGAGAAGTTAGTTGTGGTTCTTGTGACATGTGTTTAAGCTTAGTTGGCTGCAACCAAGACAATGACATGAATGAAGTGAATGGAAGCCTGCTAGGTTGAACTCAACACGCAACACAAGAACGAATGGAAGAGACGTGTGTTTGTGTGTGTGTGTGTGTGTTTATTTGGCTTCTTTCATGCTGTGTTTGATTTAATTCACGCTTCCACAGCGTTCTTTTGTAATCAATTGAAACTAAACAGAAGCGAAAGGAAACACACAGCATCTCTTGGTTCGCTTCACTCTATATTACCTTCTCGTTCTGGTGTCAGCGACATGAAGACAGAGAGGTGACGGCGAGATTAAGAATGAGGTGAATGTTATGTGTGGTGGGTTCTGGTTCTCTTGCACGTGTATTTAATCAAAGACAAAGCATGTGTGCTTTGATTGAGCTAGACGAAGCAAAAGCCCAAACACGCACTTTACGTTACCCCACTAGCCGTTGCCTTCTGATGTTGTGTCCTTTGCCTGTATGTTTTTGTTGTCGTTGTTGTTGTTCCTTCTTCGGCTCCTTCCTGATTTTCCGACAGCAGACAAAGGCCCGCAGCACAAGTTCCTACACAGACAGCCCCCGTGGATGCTGTTAAAGGCTTGTTGCTGGGGGTGTAGCTTTCAAGAGGGCTTTCGGGTTAACTGTTTCAGATTGGG